CTGGACAGTCACAGTCACCAATGGGAACCGCAGTAGTCTCACCCTTCAACCAAACCTGACAATTCCACCCACCTTACCTTAAGAGAGGGTGATCAGTCCTCTCCTTGGTCCCTGCTTACAGGGAGGGATTATTCTCCAGGTTTCATAATTGCCTACAGGGTCTTCTTCCTCCACAGCTGGCCAGACAATGTCATGGTCTCCTCACCTCTAACCAGTGGCTCTTGGGAGCATCGATCACCGCCACCAGAGAACAGCAGTCTGAGAAAGTCCCTCGGATTCAAAGGACCGATGGAGCCTGGGATATTCTGTTCAACTCACCGATACCCTGGCAGTCAGGATGGACCCCCCCCCCCCGAGGACTTCAGGGCCCCTTTCGTCCCATTTGGGTCGCCAGAAATATTGCAGCAAATCTTGATTCCAATTAAGACACAAGACCACTAAAGGTGGGAGAATACAGGTTTTTATTCCTGATACAGTACTTTTATACTCGATATGACATCAGCAAAGCCTTGGGTGTTATTCTTAACCCTTATTCGCCAAATAAGGACAACTATATATATTTCAATCATATATTTCTATATATGGATTAGGGAAAAGGAAATAACAAGCACATTTCATATTTTCCAGTTATCTTACACCATCCGGTTATTTCCATGTTCCACCCTTGTTTATGCCACTGTGGTTAGCTTTAGTTCCTCAATAAAGTCTGAATACAGCAAGTTACAGATATGTCTTAATATGACTCGCGACCAGTAATAGAATGATGTTCTATATGGTAGTCTGAAAATATTTTAATTATATGAAGTATTACCTTTCGTCCCTCTTCTGTCCCCGTTTCATTGGTGCAACTGAAGTTGCCCCGACTGTTAGGGAAAATACACCCGGTGTTCTATAGTAGCCCCTTAAAACCTGTGGTGGGATCAACCATGAGGCCACCACCTCTTGAACCCCCAGACCACGTGTTATAGGAGGCCAAACTCATTATGAGGTGCAGTGAATTCTCGATCTGAGGTGGCACAGGAGACAACTCCAATATCTAATCAAGTGGAAGGGCCACCCTTTATCAGAGACATCATGGGTAGAGTAGGAACATCCAAGCTGATTGCCTTGTGACAAGGTTCTATCCAAAAAACCCAACCTAACCTGGGGGAGGTTGGCAACCCTAAGTTCTATACTTGTAATAAATTTGTTTGGTTTTTTTTGTGTGTGTTGTACAGGTCACCTTCAGGAAGAGAGGGGAGCTGAATGTCAACCAAAAAAATACTCCTTTGGTATTTTTAGCTCCCAGAAAAAGTGAGTGTGGACAACAAGGCATTCTTGAAATGCCTAGATAATCACCTCAGCAGCCCGAAGTTATCGAAGCATAAAAAGGTTATTGGAGAGCATGATGGATGACTCTTGGAGATGGATGTATCCCATTGGAGAAGTCACATCCATGGGGTGGGGGAAAGACCAGGGTCATGGGGGAAATGTATGATGTAATTTAGTATCAGCTTCACCCAGGTACATGCCAACATGGCAATTTCTAATAAACCAATGTATTTTTCTGAGATGCGGTTAGAGATTTTGACTTGAATAAGAGAGAAGTTGTTGGAGCCTTGACACTCTACGGTTAGAATTTTGCATGGGAGAAACTTTGATCACTTAAAAACTATCTTTGAAAACATTTATGGAATGCAAGCTACTCCCCCTCCCTTTCTGTTGGAAACTCTAATAAGACCATAGAAATATTTTATGAGTTGATATTTAGCGCCCTGCAACTCTTCACAAGGCACACCTGGGGACGGAGACTTAAAGAGACATTGTGAGGAGGGACATTTTTGGGGAACAAATGATGAATTTCTGGACTGAGCATTTGCGGGAAATTTGGAACAATAATGGGGCAGTCTGAACTGCCAGCTTCCTGTGTGATCTCTATACCATGCTCCAGGTCATCGCATATGTATATGTACATGGGTGGGAATCAACTGGTGTTATTACCGATTCAAAAAGAGTGCATTTGCAATAAATAATTAAGTCTTATAAGCCTAAGAAACTACTTCACGATCAGATACCAACTTTTATCATTAAATGTTCCTTAGTATTTAGATCTGGTCTCAGAATGATAATGTAGCACTTGGGGAAGAAGATGCAGGCCAGCAGGCCAGCACCAGAAGCCAAGATGGAGAAGACCTGCACGGCCACCATGTATTTCCCTTTGGTGCTCAAGTAGGTGGGCAGGAAGGAGATCCAGACACTGCAGAAGACCAACATGCTGAAGGTGATCAATTTGGCTTCATTGAAGGCACCAGGAAGGTTCCTGGCCAGGAAAGCCACCGTGAAGCAAATAGCAGCAAGAAAACCCATGTAGCTAAGAACAATATAAAACATGGTGACAGAGCCTTCATTACATTGAAGGATGATCACTCCTGGTTGGGAGTGCAGGTCAACATCAGGAAATGGAGGAGAAACTCCCAGCCAGATTGCACAAATTACAAATTTTCCAGCACAACCAGAAAGGATGATGGAGTTGGCCAGGCTCTTCCCCAACCATCTCCTCACCCTGTTCCCCGGTTTCGTGGCCAGGAAGGCCAGTACTACCATGATTGTTTTGGCTAAAACACAAGACACAGCTACTGAGAAGACGATGCTGAACACTGTTTGTCGGAAAAGGCAGGTGGCTTTCCTTGGTCGGCCAATGAAGAAAAAGGAGGACAAGAAGCAAAGAAAGAGGGAGACCAAGAGGATGTAGGAGAGGTCACGGTTGTTGGCTTTGACAATGGGAGTTTCTATGTATTTAAGGAAGATGACTAAAACAAAGCCTGTTGTTAGAAACAAGACTACAGCAAAGAAGACCAGGATGATGCCCAGATGATCTTCATAGGACAGGAAGGTTATTCTTTTGGGGATACATTGGACTCTGTCACCAGTTGGATATTTATCATCTGGGCACTTGGTGCATTTTTCAGTATCTGAGAAGAGAGTAAGCAATATTATTTTGATAGTATCTCATTTCACCTTATAAGAAAGATCTTCTTTGGATGACAGCTGATACTGAGAGACAGGAAAGCCATAGTAATTGGTAAACTGAAATATATAGGCACATATTAATTTATTAACAATAAATAAATATAACCCAAAATAATTGATGCCACAATCACCCTTCATTGAGGTAATCAACATTGTTGTAATCTGGCATTGACCTCACTTCATCCCAATGTCTGGAAGAACAACCTCCAGAGCTTTAGGAGGGTGGGAGGCCTGTTGGGTTTCAATGGGGAGGGTGTTCAATAGGGCAAGAACTACGACAAAAACAAACAATAGGCAAGCTTTTGAGGATCCACATAGTGGCAATGTCTTAGTTTCTAGTCCTGCACCTAGTTTAGACACTCAATGGGATAGCTACACATTCTGAGGGCTTCCTTGATGAGCAAAACACATTGACCTGAAACCATTCCTCACCTTTCAAAGGAATTAGATGGTAAACATGGAAATAAACTTTCAACCTGACAAGTAGAAAAGATGCTTCCTTTAGCACAATTCATCTTGCCTATTCCACTATGTTCTTCCATCCCTTCCTGCCTTATTCTTCAAGATCTTATTCCTCCCATTATGGAATAAATTGGACATGAGGAAAACAGCCATGAAGAATAAAATAGTTAAGGTTACATGTATGTTTTAACATGAAGTTGGATGAAATGATCTTGTTGAATCCAATGCCTTTTCCTCTGGTATAACATACCTTCCTGTGTGGAGATGGTCCCCTCCGGACAAGGAATACAATCATAGCAGCAAATTGGTTCTTCTTTCCGAGCCCGTTTCACAAATCCAGGGTGACAATTGTCCACACATTTGGACTGAGGAAGAGACTAAGCAGAAAAACAAAATTCATTCCAAAATATCTGTCAAATTTTTATTTATTAGATTGATTGAAATAAAGTGAAACTCTGCTTAAGACAGATACTTCTGAGTAATACAGGGGAAACTTGAAAAAGTAGAATGTTGTGCAAAAGTTCATTTATTTCAGGAATGCAATGTAAAAGGTGAAGCTAATATATGAGATAGACTCATTACATGCAAAGCAAGGTAGTTCAAGCCTTGATGTGTCATAATTGTGATGATTGTGGCTTGCAGCTCATGAAACCCCAAATCTACAATCTCAGAAAATTAAAATATTATATGCAATCAATAAAACAAGGATTTTACATAGAACAATATTGGACCTCTGAAAAGTATCAGCATGCATATGTACTCAGTACTTGGTTTGGGCCCCTTTTGGAGCCATTACTGCCTCTGTGTGGCATGGCATGGAAACTATCAGCCTGTGGCATTGCTGAGGTGTTATGGAACACCAGGATGCTTCAATAGCGGCCTTCAGCTCTTCTGCATTATTCGGTCTCATGTCTCTCATCTTTCTCTCGGCAATGCCCCATAGATTCTTTATGGGGTTCAGGTCAGGTAAGTTTGCTGGCCAATCAAGCACAGTAATCCCATGGTCATTGAACCAGGTTTTGTGGCTTTTGGCAGTGTGGACAGGTGCCAAGTCCTGCTGGAAAATGAAGTCAGCATCCCCATAAAGCTCATCTGTGCAAGGAAGCATGAAGTGCTCCAAAATCTCCTGGTAGATGGCTGCGTTGCCCCTGGACTTAATGAAGCACAGTGGACCAACTCCAGCAGAGGACATGGCTCCCCAAATCAACACAGACTGTGAAAACTTCACACTGGACTTCAAGCATCTTGAAGTGTGTGCCTCTCCATTCTTCCTCCAGACTCTGGGTCCTTGGTTTCCAAATGAGAGGCAAAAGTTGCTCTCATCAGAAAAAAGGACTTTGGCCCTGAGCAACAGATCAGTTTTGTTTTTCTTTAGCCCAGATAAGACGTTTCTGACGTTCTTTGTTGTTCATTGAAGCCCATATCCAGGATCTGTCTGTGTGAGGTCGGTCTTCATGCACTGACTCCAGCCTCAGTCCATTCCCTGTGAAAGTCCCCAACACTTTTGAATGGCCTTTTCCTGACAATCCTCTCCAGGCTGTGGTCATCCCTACTGCTTGTGCACCTTTTTTCTTCCACACTTTTCCCTTCCACATAATTTCCTATTAATGTGCTTTGATACAGCACTTTGGGAACATCCAGCTTGGTTTGCAATTATCTTTTGAGGCTTTCCCTCCTTATGGAGGGTGTCAATGATGGTTTTCTGCACAGCTGTCAGGTCAGCAGTCTTTCCCATGATTGTGATTCCTACTGAACCAGTCTGAGAGACCATTTAAAGGCCCAGGATTAGAGTGGGACACTTTGAGCCTAGAATATTGAACCTTTCCACAATATTCTAATTTTCTGAGATTGTGGATTTGAGGTTTTCATGAGCTGTAAGCCATAATCATCTCAATTATGACACATGATGGCTTGAACTATCTTGCTTTGCATGTAATGAGTCTATCTCATATATTCGGTTCTCCTTTTATGTTACATTCCTATAATAAATGAACTTTTGCACGATATTCTAATTTTTCGAGTTTCACCTCTAGATCAGGAAAACATAAAATATTGCAAAGCCACTCCCCTTTGAAAATAATCCAAATCCTTGTTCCAGATGAGATATAAAGAAAAATTTCCTCACATACTAGGGCTGTCAATTTCAAAGGAAGTACTATTTAGCAGCTGTACATTTATATTTTCAATTCATATAGCTGCCATGTTATTGAAACAAGACTAAACATTACTACCTAATTTGTAGAACTACAGTGAGGATGAGTAGAGATGAAATCATCAGAACATGTCACTCAAAAAGAATAAGTCAGGCATCTCTTCTTGCAGCACATGGGACATGAGTAGGAGCCCTGTGTGGGAAAGGTATCTTTCTAAGGCCCAAAACAAGGTCCTTTCCATTGAAGAATTACAGTTTTGTTTTTAATTGCTAGTTGTGTCCAACTCCTTGAGCGCCCAAGAACCATAGCATTCCAGAACCCCCTGTCCTCTACTGTTTCCCAGTTGGATGACATGAAGAGACAGACCCACATTTTTGTTATTACTAAAATTTGGAGAATTCTTTGTTTCAAAGGGAGACTTAAGGTAGCTGACATTCAAGATAAACAATTTCATTCAAGAGGTTTTTACATGGCTCATAAGCCAAAGGCTAAATCTAAGTAGCATTTCATTATAAATTGGCCATCATTATTTCAAGTTTCAAGAAAGAGGGGGTGTCAAAGTCATTTTCAGTCCATTTTTCTAGATTAAGGCATAATCTCACATCAGACAAGTCATTTGGGTTCCTTTTTGCCAGAGCACCTGAGATCACCTTCCTAGAAGCAGGAGGCCTCTCCCAGTGGGACATAGATAACTCTGGTCAGATATGGGCTCTTAAAAATACCTGAGCCTGCGCTTTCAGGGGACACAAACACCAACCATACAGACAGAGAAAAGTTGCCAATATTTTCAATCACCTTGTTGAGCAACTTTAGCCGTGAAAGAGCATCTTGGTTGATAATAAGCCTCTGTCTTTCCAAACTCCCGACTTGTTCTTTGATGGAATCTTCCTTGGGGAAAAGCAACCAACTTATGATATTCAGATCTGCTGCTAGATTTCCATTTTGGTCCAAGTACAATTTTTCCCAAGAAAAATTGTAAAACTCATTCTTCTCCAGAAAGGGATGGAACTAGAATTGAAACACCCAGGGATTTTGAAAGCAACTTGAAACATCCTAAAAGGCAGAGCAATTTTAAAGCTGAGCCAGTGAACAAGAGATGTTCAATCCCTCCCCCTTCATTATTTGCCTAAATAGCAATAGCACTTAGACTTATATATCACTTCACGGTGCTTTAACAACCCTCTTTAAGTGGTTTATAGAATCGGCATATTGCCCCCAACAATTTGGGTACCCATTTACCAACCTTGGAAGGATGCAAGGCTGAGTCAACCTTGAGTTGGTCAAGATCAAACTCCTGGCACTGAGCAGTGAGTTAGCCAGCAATACTTGCACTCTAACCTTTGTGCCACCACAGCTAAATGCAAAGACTGAGCAGCCATCAGTCTGAAAAGCTTTAATTGGATTCCTGCAGTGAGGAGGGGTTGGGCTAAATGCTCCCAGGTTTGGTTGAAATCTATTAATATAAAGTTCTATCATGCTAATTACAAACCTATAAATACAGGAATTTATTTACAATGTATACATTTTATATTCTTTTATAATAGCAGTGTTTTATATCCAAATATAATTGTCATGGTGCCAGCTCTTTGGAATATGATCTTGTGAGCTAAATCTGGCCTCAGCTTGACCAAACCTATTGGTGTTTGGAAGAACAAGTAATTTGAAATGGTTCCCCTACATCAGCATTGCATTATTTTTTCTAAATAGGAACTAGGTTTGATGGATCCTTGTCAGGACCGCATACCTGCCATGGTTCTAGCCTTGGTGCCTCTAATCTCTCTTTCTCCTCCATTTTTCTCCTCTTAGATATTGAGGAATATGCAACATTCAAGACATGGGCCAAAGTCTTAAAAACACTGTAAAACCGGTGCTCATTTTTTATCTGAATTCTGTCCTTTTTTTCTTGTGTGTCCAGTGATGCTATCTGGGTACATCGTCTCCGGCCCTTGACAGAAAGGACATGCTTTGAAAAAGAACAGCGAAAAGACTGGTCTTCAAATTTGGAATCCTTAAAAAGACTGGGTTGAAAGGCATCCTCCTTTGGCCATTTTTTTTCCTGAAAAGCAAAGGTCCAAATGCTATGGATATATTTGAAACGTGTATCCCTTGTAATTGTCATTTTCTCCATGCTTGTGGTGATCCAGACTTTCCCTTTGATGGGTCCTGACAAACCTTCAATTATTATATGGATATTGTGAAATCTATCGATAAGGGAAAAAAATTCTATGAAGTGAACAAAGACATTGACTTTCCTCCATTTAGAGATGGCATCCCTGAGATGTTCTGTAGGTCTAGTGATTGGGAATTGTTGTGAGATAATGACACAGATTCCATTTCTGACAAGCATTGGAGTGAAAGTTCTCGTGAAATTCTCTCCCTCCTCTGTGTCAGTTGAAAAGAGACCAATCAAAGTCCATCTAAAATGAAGGAGGAGTTGTACAATTCCTGGATACTGGATCCCATTTTTGGGGAGCATCTGATGGAAAAATGGAATTTGACTTTTATCACTCAGAGCCTCTGAAACAATTCCATAACTGATCTGAAGAAACAAGGAAGAATGGTGTATTATATTTAGATCAGATCAAGTCCAAAATGAAAGCTTTTAATACATCCAATGTGGTTCTCATGAACACCTTAGAATAGTTTGTTGTTATTAACCCTTAAGCC